GATTGCATGAGCTCGGGTATAGTTTATCTGATCCTCCTGTAAGACGTGTGGTGACGAATACATTGGCGAAACGGGTAGACCCCTCTGTGTCCGCATGAAAGAACACCTAGCCGGCAAAAATAGACCAAATACCCCGCTAGGCACGCAGAGGACCCAGAGACATAGCGGGGACGACTTCGAAGTATGTGTCACGATCGTCGCACACGAATCAAGAACATAGGCGCGAAAAACTCTCGAAGCACTCTGGATTAATTCCAGAAATCCGAAAATGAACCGCAGGGAAGAGTGCCTCATTATCACGCGTGATATAGGGCAGTATATAAAACTGCTTTTCTGATGTGAGGGGCACATTATACTTCCATGTGATTTCTGTGCGGTTGGTCCCTACGTGACATACTTAGTGGAAACCTCATAGGAAGCGGTGAGTGTGCAAAGCTGTGTTCAAAGTGATTGAAATCTTGGTTTAGAGTTTCTTTGTTTGGTTATGGAGGCGTCTGGCCGAGTAGATTGCTATCAACTTGACCTTTCCAGGCTCTGAGGAAGGCGATAGCCGCCGAAACGTCAACTTATCCGTGAATAAGGAATAATAACACCTCGCGTTTGCTCAACAAAAATACGAAGATTTACTTGGTCAATGCCGAGGTTAATAGAAAGTCGGTTGTGGGAGAATTGTAAAGGTTATGAACTTCTTCTTCGGGTTTCTAATTAGTTACGTACTTTTCGTGTCTAATTGTTTTGCTTTCATATATGAGTCCTATTTGTGGACGACTGGTATCATAGACCTTGACGAATCCCTATGAGACGAAATGCCACGGTTAAGTATGCCCTCTTAATGAATGCGTGAAGAGAGTGAAAGTGGTTTTGGTTGGTGCAATGGATTGTTGACATCAAAAAGTAAGGAAGAGTTCTTCGTTTGTTTATCCTTTTTGTGTTCTATTGTGTGATCAAAGGAAATGACGTTGAAGATGATAAGATGTGGGTGAGGTTCAACCTGGAAATATGTTGAGCGTGGAGCGAATCCTCTCATGGCTCTCCGCCATTTTCCGAGATTTGAAATAAATAACTTGGTATCTTAACCCTTTTATTTACTGCCTTTTTCTTTTTAATGACAGGGTATGTTGTGAAATATAACTCGTATGTAATGCTGAGATATTTGCAAAACTCCGGACCGCAGGTGTATGCGATGGGGAACGAACACGCGCTGTTGTCCTTACCGGGGAGCAGCACACTTCACCAACACACCATCCGGGTCCTCCATCTTGCCTGTCTCTCAGCTAGTTCTATCGATCCTGACGGGTGATTGCTGATGGCAAAAAGATCGATAGAACTAGCTGAGAGACAAGCAAAACGAAGGACCCGGATGGTGTGGTGGTGAAGTGCGCTGCTCCCCGGTAAGGACAACAGCGCGTGTTCGCTCCCCATCGCATACACCTGCGGTCCGGAGTTTTGCAAATATCTCACCATTACATATAACTTGGTATCTTTAAAAGAATGTAATATTATTTGAAATCATACTTTGTGATTTCTATTATTTCAGCTGGATCGTTTCACCGAACTCCTCTGGCGCTGCTCCGCCTCCAGATCCAACGTATAGTGGTCACAGCGAATTTGTGAATGAGCTGAAGTCGAGGGTCGGTCGCGTTGACTTCATTCAAGACGAAAATGAGGTCTCAGTTGTTCCGCAGCATCATCAGAACAACCAGGAGAACATTTATAACTTAAAAAATAATAAAATCACTGTGCCATTCGGTGAAAACTTGAAAGGAACTACACGTCAACAGTGCAGTCCTGCCATCTCTGATGTGACCTCACCCGCTAGTTATCTTCGGTGTCCCAGGTTAACTTCTCGTCAAGAACAGCCCTCTGAAATAACAAAACCGATGAGTAGTAAGAGTAAGTGTTTAGTTGGAGTTGACCAATACGACGGCCTTTCTATTGACACTGATAAGCAGAGCCATGCCTGCCCAGCAACATCAGAAGACCCCTGGATAGAGAGAGTCGAGTCCAGAATCACAAACGAAGATGGCACTGTCTACTCGTTGTGCTTTCCTTCAACATCATCAAGTAGCGAATTCTATAGCGTCACGAAAGCAAGAAAGGAACGGCGGCTTGCTTCTCGTGAAAAGTTTTGTAGATCATTCGGCTATTACTCTTATACGCAAGTACGGCCATACAGTGATGCTCATGAAGTCCTGGAAAGCCCTTCTGCATCCGGTTTGGATTTTTTGACACCTGCCACATCTATGACATCTCACCTAGAGAGTACATTACCTTATAATAGAAGAATGAGTGTCATTGAAGAGGAGGTGCATCAGAAGTTTTCCAGTGAGGACTGCTTATCCTCATCCAGTCCTCCTCCTCTACCCCAGAGTGAAATACCTCAAAATATTTCACATTTGCCCACCAGGAACAATTCAACATCGACAGACCTATTTTTTAAAACGAATCATTCGAGATGAAAAGGATTGATAGCTGGCATGAATAAACTTAAATCGAGAAAAAGTGATGACTATGAATGCATTGAGCAGACATGATGCTGGACAACGCCATAACCGTACTTAGTCTACTTTCTTACCTCATCCAAACAGCAATGAAGGAATACCATTACCTTCAGTGATTTTTTCATGCACTTTGTTTTGGCCGTATTGTGTAGTCTGTAAAGCAGTTTATAGGTTAGGTTATGTGTCAGAGGTTGAGCATCTGTAGCATCATCATACGAAAATTTCACAATGTACTAAATCGAGAGAACTTACTTAGTGTTTCCGGAGTAAGTCAAACCATCAGTGTTTTGGTCGGAATAAACCATTTTCTCTTCCATTCTTCCTACATTCTCAAGTTGTTTTACACTCGTTTCCTGATCGGTTCGTAATAAAAAGTAACAAAACAAATGGAGTGCAATTTTAACTTATTATTTACTGGCTAAATAATAAGTTAAAATTGTGATTATAAGTATAGCCTCAGCTTAACTGGGTTCAATGCCGATTTCGGTTCCCCAGATCAATCCCGCTGACGGGTGATTGCTGATGGCAAGTGATCGATAGAACTAGCTGAGAGACAGCGAAACGAAAAACCCGCATGGTATGGTGGTGAGCGCGTTACTCCCCGGAAAGGTCAGTAGCGCGTTCGCTCCCCACCGCATACACCTGCGGTCCTGGGTTTTGCAAATATCTAAGCAAATGGATTGCTTTAGAAAACGTCGTGAGATGCTACCACTTGTTTTGTAAAGAACCGAGTGTCAGATCTTTACTGTAACACTTAAAACCGCTTATTTTTGCTAGTATTGGCTTAACAGTGGTTCTTATGGTTTTGCTGGTGGTACCACGTTTGTTAGAGACGATCTCAAAGCGTCGATATCAAACTTCGTGCAGCAACACTTAGAACACAATCGGCATTCTCGAGATGTGTGACAATTTAGATCCTCAACCTACCCATCGCCACCTATCTAATTAGTATGTCTACGCTTTATTTACTGCCTACCATTATTTTTTTCTATAGGGTATTACGTGAAATATAACTACCATAATTCTGAGATATTTGCGAGACTTGGACCATAGGCCAGATTCGAACCGTTATTGCCATTTCGAAAAGGGTAACTCCAGGTTCGAATTTGGCTTGGGGTCCATGTTTTGCAAACATCTTCGGCATAATAGTGGTTATCTAATCAGTATTGATTTCGGGAATATTTAACCCTTTTCATCAGTTTTGCAACTGTGGTGAATTATTTTCAGTCATTAATCACGACTCACTACAGGAAAAACCGTTTAAAAAATTGTTTTCAAGTACAACAATCGCAGTTGAAATCACCTGTATCACCTATCGTCCCGTTGAGCTCTGAGTGTGATTCTCGATGAATGACTCGAGCGAGCGTCAGTAAATCATCCATTTCTCCCTGTCGCCTTCAAGAGTAGCTCAATAAGTTATGCTCGCTGTACGAGCTCGTTGAGCATTATATGTCTGTCTAAAGTTTTCATGAAGAACTCCATCCATCGAGTCGGTCGGTGGTGTTCCTTCAGTACGTCTGACATGCCGAGGAATTCAATCACTAATGGTTTTTGTCTATCGGTTTTCGTTCATACCCATTACTTATCCGGTCCTCTTTATCCTTAACAATTTGGCTTATGAGCGGAGTCTTTGATTTCTGATCTTTGACGTAGATCGAAGCTCCGGATTCTTTCCTCTATTTAGTGATATGGGAGACTCCAGGCATCGTCCTTTAGACTGCGCGTCTAAGACGCTGAATGATCTTTCATCCTGCTTAGGCTGCGAACAGGTTTCTAACGCGTACGTTAATACAAGGAGAATCGTGGACTCGAAAACGTGGGCACAGAGTCGCGTTCACTGTTCTCTTTACTGCATCATTGATGGTCCAGAGAGCTCCCCAAATTGCTCGTTTGCTTTTGCTCAGTTTCAGAGCGAATTCGTTTACCATGTTGATTTCCCGCATTAGATAAGCGCAACTTTAGCATTCGGAGATATTCGTTCCGTTGAGCTTGAGTGGGCATACATAAAGAATCGGTTCCTCAAGAACATTATTTATGTGAGGTCTACTTGAAAGGCAATATTTCCACAAGCGTTATCAAAGTTGGCAAGTATTCATTCCGCTCGGGTAATGTTGGTATTATGTAAGCGATGTCATTAGCAAGGCGAAGATGGTGTAGTTTACGACCACGATTTATACTCCCTTGCTGTTCCATTCTGGTGTTTTCATAACGTTCTGAGTGGTGATAGTAAACAATTTTGATGGGATGGTATGGCGATTCTAACCACTCTTATGGCAATGTTAATATTGTTGTTTAATGGTAACATTTTGGCTGAAAAGTTTTTTACATACATCACGATGAATTTTTACCTATCGAGTAGTGATGTCGTGCTGTGCAGGGCTTCCATGATTGCTTCTTTCCCAGCTGAGTCATAAGCTTTCCTTAAATCAACGGAATTAAAATAGAGCACTCTCCTTTACTCTCGACACTTTAATTAGTCTTACTATCATGTGGATTTCGTCCATCGTGCTGAGTCCTTTTGTCCTATTTAGGATGGCTCGAGTGAAAGGTTTGTAGACTGCAGACAGCAAGTAGATTGGGCGATAGTTACCGATAACGTGGAAGTAACCATTCCTGAACAATAATACAGGCTTGTTGGTCTTCCATTGAATAGGAACCTCGCATTCTGGTAGGTAACGCGTGAAGAGCCTGGTCAATGTATTTACGAGTACTGGCTTAAAGTTCTGCTGTTCAAACAACTTGTTTTTTTCAATTGTTCAGTAACGAAGGAACACGTCAGATTTCGGAATGGAGAACCGATGAGGTGACATTATCCATTCTCCTTTCTTCATTGGTGAACAAGAAGATGTAGCTATTGAAGAGATCTGAGTAGCAGTCGTGAGCGATTTTCTCCATTTCCTTTTTGGAAGTTGCAGCTGCTCCGTTTGACCATTGGATTGCAATCATCTTGGTTTTATAATTGCCGAAGCTTCGGTGGGCTTTGCGAATGCTTTTTCCATACTCTGGATCTTCGACCATAAGTGTTGTTTTTTTTTTATAAGATCTTCATTTGCAGTCTGTTTCTATTGTTTCACAAATTCAGGCTCTCTTTTCTCTGTAGCTTGTGCAATTCCGCGATGAATTACAGTTGGAGTGTTTCGAGACCGATGGCTAGTTTGCAGTATGGGATCCGAGTTTTGCAAATATCTCAGTTTCATTGTGGTAGAGAAATATTGCATTTCGTATGTCAAAGAATAATCAGTGAATTCCAAACTAAGTATTGTCACCACATGAACTAATAACAGACTTTCGCAAGCGGCATGTTCTTATATGGTGCTGACTTGATTTAAGGGCAGTGTACTATAAACAATCGTGAGCAAGCAATTACCGCAACGGCCGACATTTACGCTACTTCGCTTCAGAAGTTGGTTGTACACTTTGAAGAACAGCATTGAAGGTGACAAAATTTTCCTATGCGATACTTGACTTTGAAGCACTTATTTAATAATCTGTAAAGCGAAAAAATGGCACCAACCATTTCTTTGCTTCGCAATCATCAGGTGTTGAACAGAGGTTATAACGTAAACTATCTATACGTTAGGAAGTTACAGCAGTTATTAAAAAAGAATTGAGAGAAGAGTTATAAAGTTTAACGTTTTGTTTTCTGCCTTCTATAATTTTCATGACAGGTTACCAAGCGAAATACAACCACAACGTTGCTGAGATATTTGCAAAACTCTGGACCGCAGGTGTCTATGGTGGGGAACGAACGCGCTATTATCCTTTCCGGGGAGTAACGCGTTCACCACCACACCAAGCGGGTCCTTCGTTTCGCCTGTCTCTCAGCTATTTCTCAGCTATAGTACGCGTTACTCCCCGGAAAGGACAATAGCGCGTTCGTTCCCCACCATAGAGACCTGCGGTCCAGAGTTTTGCAAATATCTCAGCAACGTTGTGGTTGTATTTCGCTTAGTAACCTGCCATGAAAATTATAGAAGGCAGAAAACAAAACGTTAAACATTGTGATTTCCATGACCGACTTTCTGTTAACCTCGGCATTAATTGATAATTCAATGTTTTTCATCAATAAGCAGATTTCATTGTGATTTCAACTACAGCATAGCTTAACTGGGTTCTATGCCGATTTGCGCTCCCCAGATCAACCCCGCTGACGGGTGATTGCTGTGGCAAAAAGATCGATAGAAATAGCTGAGAGACAGGCGAAACGAAGGACCCACATGGTGTGGTGGTGAACGCGTTACTCCCCGGAAAGGACAATAGCGCGTTCGTTCCCCACCATAGACACCTGCGGTCCAGAAGAGTTATAAAATTTGTTTTTTAATTACTTCCTAACGGCTTACTGCCTCATCGTTACTGGGAGATGTTCCTGTGTGTCGTACTGCGGTCTACAGCGGAGGAATCTATCCCCGGCAGGGTCGTCCAAGCTGAGAATGAGTCCGGCGTTTCCATCAGGAAGCATAGCTAAGAGTAAACTAATATCAGGATCCACCACCGTCCTGGCGTCAAACTAGACGCATTGTGGAAAATCTCCTCCTGATTCACAAGGGCGGCAGCTACCTGTATTAGTGACAACCTGAATGGAGATTGAGCTGGGGCACGCATAACCAGTGAAGACGGGCCATCTAAGTATCCAAGTAGGTTTTCCATATGCAATAAGCGCAGTGGAGTTGCTTCAAGGACCAATTTTGTTTAAATAAAAGATGGAAGATAAATGATTTTCAATTTCTTGGTGTTGATGAATCGTTACTGGATGCGCCATGCATTCAATTTCACCCTGCATTTTAGAGAAAATTGAAAGCATACCCAGCTTTAAACAATGACTTCTGGAGATATAATGATGTGGAGATCTAGTGTTTTTATGCGGCAAGACACGCTTGTTACTAATTGGCCAATCCCGGAGGCTTTGAACTCTTGAGTGTTCCACGTCGCGTTGTGGAACCAACAAGTGTGTAGCAGAGTACCTCCAACTCCTGCGCTACAAAAACCACTTGTTGAAATGAGTGGGCAAATCTGTGTACAAGCGCTGGTTGGATGATCTGATTTGTACTTGCGGGTTTTCACGAATGCGAAGCTTTTGTGTATTTGAACGAAACTGTCACCAACGAAATATGCGGGCATGGAACCTCCCGGTTCTTGATTTGACGTCAGTGAAAGGAATAGTAGCCGATCTTCTGGTTCATGATTCTGTTGTAGGCGACTAATTTGAACCAGGTGCAAATTTGGTTTCTGCACTCAACGTGGAACAGGGTAAATGTTCTCACTGACAAGATTTCTGTTGATGTTTTTCTATTTATCGACATACCACAATTAATACAATACTTATTGATGAAGAGTGAGACTGAAAAAGACTGCACTAAAAGATATTGTAGAAAACCCGAATGGAGATGGTATTCAGAAGAATAATGCACAACGAATGACCTGCGTTCAATGTCGCTGCATGACGCTCACAACTATTTGCGCGATGGCAGAAACAAACAAAGTGCATCGCGCTTCATTTGTCCCTGTACTCTGATGCCGATCGTGATTTGTGACGAGAAAGGGCACCGACGATGTAGATGTGGATGGAGTGGTTCTTATGCATTGCTGACGTAGAAATGACCGTACGGTTCGATGTACTCCTGCAGCGCTACAGTAGTTCACATCCGCTAGTCGTTTGTCCTGAAACGAGAACGTGATTGCGGCAACCACTAGTTTTCTGCTGTTTAATGAACCTTGTTGGGGTTTCATATTCCAATACGTAAGCCATTTGTCTAAACTAATTTAGGGTTTACATCGCGCTTAAGTACTTTTTGTGTCATACATCTTGTCAAATAATCAAAATGAATTGCAGTGTTGCAAGGATTGAATCTGTCATGAAGTTTGTCCATAACGCACCTACTGTGCGAAGAACAACGAAATCACAGTAAATAGAAAGCTTTCATAAGTCTGTGTTGATCTGCGAATAAAAGGGTAAAGGATAAAGGTCTCGGCGTCGATCAATCCCAGAGGGATGCGCCATGCATTCGACTTCCTTAAGTATCGTTTGGAGGTGATTGAATGCATATCTGGTGTTTACAATGACTCGAGGTGGCCCACCAATGTATCAAGCCGGTACTGCTATCCTCCCTGACAAGTTTGGTACCAATCTGCCGACCCTGGAGGGATGAAAGGCTTGGCGGACCATGGGCGCGGGGATCGATTCCACGTCTGTGTTGCGGGAGGCACCGACCATTGCGTCACACACGCTCAAATGAAAATGTATCACCAAATATCTGCTGTGAAATTTCACAATGTACTGATTTTAGACCATCGCAATCACATTAACACATTGACGAGTTGAAAAGTGAAAAAACTACACCTCACGGACTTACAGCATAGAAGATATCACTTGTCTTCCTTTCGACCTTTTTGAAAAGTGAATGTGTGGGCTAGAATGGTTTTCGTTAGTCAGTTGGTGTTGGAGTTGTATTGGGTACGTCTTGCTTTTGTGATTTGAGCACCATTGCATTTTCTTCTGGGACAGAAAAGAATTTTTACAATTGATTCGATGGCCTAATACTATGATCTTGACATCACGTAGAACCCAGCTGCTAATGGATGTTCTGAACGGGTTTCCATTAAATCGCATTCTTCTGGCCTTTTATTTTTCGACATCTTGGTTTACTAACGCGAGGTCTTATCTTCAACACAGAGATGCAAATTTCCCTTGTGTTCCGTTAAACGTGTTACCCCTGGTGTTTCCATCTTAATATTGCGTTCGATAGTGCTCTTTCATCCTAATTACATAACTTCGAAGTCACCAAGGCTCACTTTGGTTCAAAAAGCACAGTTGAGTCGAAGAGACTGGTGCAGGAACTAGTGTTCTTTATCGATGGTCCTTTTGGTTCCGATCTAATCCACTACCTGTGATCCGAGAACGCCCTACGAAGTCTAGCGACTATCCGACCGATATAACTCGTATAATGCTGAGATATACATCTCAGCATTATATACGAGTTACATTTCGCAACATAACCTGCCATTAAAGAGAAAAAGGCAGTAAATAAAAGGAATAAAAAATAAGAATGCTGAGATATTTGCAAAATTTCGGACCGCAGGTGTCTGCGGTGGGGAACGAACACGCTATTGTCCTTTCCGGGGAGTAACGCCTTCACCACCACACCATGCGGGTCCTTCGTTTCACCTGTTTCTCAGCTAGTTCTATCGATCTTTTGCCATCAGCATTCACCCATCAACGGGATTGATCTGGGGAGCTTAAATCGGCACTGAACCCAGATAAGCTGAGGCTATAGAACTAGTTGAGAGACAGGCGAAGCGAAGGACCCGCATGGTGTGGTGGTGATCGCATTACTCCCCGGAAAGGACAATAGCGTGTTCGTTCCCCACCGCAGACACCTGCGGTCCGGAGTTTTGCAAATATCTCAGCATTATACGAGTTATGTTTCGCAACATACTCTGCCATTGAAAAGAATAGCAGTAAATAAAAAGGTTAAAATTGTGATTATCCGACTGATAATTTTAACTTAATATTTACTGTCTACTTTTTTAATGGCAGGGCATGTTGCGAAATGTAACATTAATGATTCTGAGGTACTTGCAAAACTCCAGACGGCAGGTGGCTGTGGTGGAGAACGCGCTATTTGCTTCTTTTCTCTTCCCGTGCTCACATTGGTGACTGTTCGAAACGTGTTTCTTGAAAGAGCACCTTTTTGTGTGAGGTGTAAGAGAAGATGTAGTAAACCAGTATATTTTTACTACTTAGCTTTCGGTAGCAGTTCGTGATGTAGCCGTTTTCGGATAGGTTAATTAAATGTTCAAAAAAGCCAGCTTTTTCGGTTTCTCTCGGCAAAACTTAGTGCACTCTGACTGTTCATTCAATAACTGAAGACATTTGTCCACCTGCTGTTGCATGAAGCAAATGACAAAGCAATCATGTCTATGCAAAGCATGTGGGACGAATACGTTGGCGAAACGGATAGACCACTCCGTATAAAAGAACCCCTAGTCGGCAAACGTAAACTAAATACCCACTGGGCACACATAGGACTCAGAGACATCACGGGGAGGACTTTGATGTACGGGTCACGATCCTCGCACAGGAATCGAGAACACGACCGTACAAAACTTTTGAGGCATTCTGGGTTAATTCCAAGAATCCGAAGATGAATCGCAGGAGAAGAATGCCTCATTATCACGCGTGATATTGGGCCGTATATAAGCTTGTTATTCTGATGAAATGGGCACAATACTATTCCGCGTGAACTCGGTGTGGTTGGTCTCCACGTGACATATTTAGTGGAAGACTGATAGAAACGGTGAGTGTGCAAAGACTCTATGTTCGATGTGATTGAAATTTTGGTTCAGCATTTTCTTTGTTTGGCTATGGAGGTGTTTGGCCGTGTAGGTTGCAGTAAACTTGACCTTTCCAGGCTCTGAGAAAAGCGAAATCCGCCGA